ATGCACGCTCAGGGACGGCATCGCCTGCTCGATCCTCCTCCAAGGCTGCCTCTCTCTTCGTCTACGGCCTTTCTCGCTTGGACTTCTTGCCCTTGGCAACTGACTTTTTGCATCCGGGAAGCTTCCTGCTGGCGCATGGAACCACGCGGCCTGGATTGGGGCTTCTTGCCTATGGAGTTGCATGTCCCGACTCGCTCTCGTCCACTTTGGACCCCTTGCATTTGGAGCCTTTGCCTTTCTTGCAAAGTCTTGCATGTGTCGACTTGAGCTCGTCTGTCTACGGCTTTCTCAAGCTTGAGGCGCTGATGTCAGCCTCTGACTCCATGAGCTCCGGTTCTTCGCTGCTGCTTCGCAGCTCCATGTGTGCCGACCTGGTCCCGTCAGCCTACGGCATGTCAAGGTCAGGCTCGCCACCGTTTGCTTTGGATTTCATCCACTGTGACTTTTCCATTCTTCCACAGGGCCATCTCAGACCGGGCCTGACGATCTTCGTGTCCGGATTAATGCGTGCAGGCCCGGTGATGCCAACCCTCGATCTCCTGAAGCTTGGAGTGCTCTTGCCCCTTCAGGCTCTTGCTTGCACGGATCTGGCTTTGCTGATCTATGGCCTGTCTCGACTGGGCCTCTTGATGCCCTCACCCGACCTTGTCTCGACAGACTCGCCGCTGCCTTTGCAAGCCTTGGGTCAAACGGGCTTTGCCATGTTAACCTACGGCATGACCAGGCCCGGGCTACCGCCTCCTGTGGCTGATTTTACGGTGCTGGGTTTGGTGCTTTCCTCGCGAGCCATGACGCGAGCAGGTTCTGCGTACTTGGTTTACGGCATGGTCCGGTCGGGTCCGGCGGCTTTGGCCTTGGACTTTATCCATTTGGGCTCCACGGCGCTTCTAAGGACACACAGCAGAACCGAGTCGGTCTCATCGACCTACGGGCACACGCGTCTGGGCTTTCTTCCGCCGACCATGGACTCTTTGACGACGGGCTCTGTACCGTTTTTGAGGGGTCATGTCTGGCCAGGTTTGCCGACGCCGGCCTATGGACTGGTTTGCTTGGACCCGCTGCTGTCGGCGTTGGACTTTGTCCATCCGGGAGCCTCTATGCTGCTGCAAACCTGTGCGAAGCCAGGGTCGGCTTTATCTGCTTCCGGGATGACGCGGCCCGGCTCCATGCTGTCGGCGCCGGACCTTCTGTGCTTGGGCTTCTTGCTGTTCTTGAGGAGCTCTGCTTAGATGGGCTTGGCCGCGACCATGTATGGAGTGATGCGAACGGGCCTCACGGTGCTGGTGCTCGACTTTCTTCATCCAGGCTTGCTGCTTTTGTCGAAGTCTTTCGCTTGCTTGGAGCTCAGCCTTTTGGTGTACGGAGCCTCTTGCCTCGGTCCCACCCTGCCGACCACCGACTTCACTCAGTTGAGCTTCCCGCTATCTGCCCGGTCGCCTGCGTGGTTAGAGCCCTCTCCGCCAGCTTATGGCTTGTCACGGCCCGGCTTCTCTTCACCTTTGCTTGATTTTGTGAATGTGGGCTTCTCGCCTTTGCTGCAGTCGCCCGCGAGTCCTGGACCATCTCCTTCTGTGTACGGTCTGACCCGATCCGGTTTCTTCATGCCGATGTCGGAGTTCGCCTTTCCGGGGTCTCTGTTGCTCCTGAGGACACTGATGCGGGCGGGTCTGTCTTTGCTTGTTTACGGGATGCTCCGCTCAGATCCCGTCTCACCTCTCTTGGACTGCGTGGAGCTTGGCCTGGCACCTTCAGTGAGAGGCTCTGCAAAGCTGGGGAGCATCATGCCAGCCTGTGGTCTGTCGTGCCTGGACTTGGCTTCACTTCTATCGGACTCCATTAGCACAAGCCCCTTGTTGCTTCTTCGTGGACTCATGCGATCGGGCTTCGTGATGTCAGCCTTTGGCCTGGCGCGGATGGAGCTCTTCATGCCCACTTTGGACTTTGTGAGTTCGGGCCCCTCCCCGCCGATCCGAGGCTTCGGTCGAATTGGCTTTGCATCGTCGGTCTATGGCATGACGTGGTCGAGCTCGGCTCCGGTGATCTGCGACTTCGTTCGTCCCGGTCCTACCGTTCCTTTGCGCACCTACTCTTGCACAGAGCCGAATCTTGCAGTCTATGGCCTCAAGAGACTTGAGTTGTTTCTCTTAGCCCTGGATCTTCTTCAGATGGGCTTCTTACCTTCGTCGCAAGGCTTCGCATGGTCAGAGCTGGCCTCGTCGGCTTTTGGGTTGCTGAAGCCAGGGTTGTCTTCGCCAGCTTTGGATCACTTGAGGGTGAGTTCGCCTCCGTCGCCACGGTATTCTGCCTGCTTTGGGCTGACACTCTCTGCGTCTGGCCTGTCACGGCCGGAGGAATTCTTGCCGGTCCCGGACTTTATGCATTTCGGGCCCCTGCTGTTCTCAAGAGGTCCTGTGCATTCAGGTCTCACTTCGTCAGCCTACGGATTGACGTGCTCAGGACCCGTAGTGCCGGTGCCAGATCTGATCCACCTGGAGTCGGTCATGCTCCTGCGTGCCTTCTGTCGGATCGGACCTCCGACATCGGCGTTTGGGATGACCTGGCCAGGTGCGCCACTGCCAGTGGCTGATTTCTCGTACTCCGGGTCCCCGATGCCACCCAGAAGGTTTACATAGCCAGAAAGTAGCTTGTCGGCTTACGGAGCGGTGCAGTTGGGGTTGAGCTCGCCTGCACTTGACCATGGGTGCCTCGGACCCATGCTGTTCTCCCGTGCTTCCTCGCGCACCGGGCTAGCGATGTTGGCCTATGGAATGACTTGCTCGGGATTGTCACTGCCTCTACTGGACTTTCTCCACTTGGGCCCACCGCCACTCTTGCGTAGCTTGATTTGCTGTGGCTCACCGATGTTGCCCTATGGCATTGCTTGTCTTGATGTTCCAATCTCAGTCCTCAACTATGTCTGGACGGACAGTCCCGCGTCGTTCCGGTCCTTTGCACAGCTGGGGTCGACAACGTTTGCTTATGGCATGGCATGTACGGGCTTTGCTCTGCTCGTGTCGGACTTCGTGACTCTGGACTCCTCGATTTTGTTGAGAGCATTTGCTCAATCAGGCTTCTCCATGCTGCCACTCGGATTCCTGGACATTGCATCCGGGTGTAAAGTCTTGGGCCCTAATGATTTTGGCAGTGCTTATCCAGTCCGAAGTCATGCAAGACTCGGCGTATCTTTGTTGCCCTATGGCATCACCTGCCTTGGGCTTATGCTGCTTGTCCCTGATCTTGCCAACACTGATCCAGTTTCGTTGCTGCGGGCATGTTGCAAGACAGGCTTGACGATTCTGGCCTATGGCATGGCCAGGCTTGGTCCCATGATACTTGCCCTGGATTACGTCCAGCCTGGCTCCCTGCTGCCCGTGAGCACGTTTGTTCGATTGGAGGAGTCGTCAGTGCTGTATGACCTTGCGAATTTCCACAGTAGTCTCAGCCTTCGAAGCTTCTCTCGACTGGAGTTTTTCCTTTCCGCTTACGGCCTGGCATGGTTAGAAGCACCCTTCTCCGCGCTGGACTTCGTGCACATGGACTTTTTGCCTGTACTGCATGCCCTCGGTCAACCGGATCTCGCGATTTCAGCCTATGGCTGCGCCAGGCTCGGTTCCATGTTTTCCGTGCCGGACCTTTCGTCGATGGGAGCACTTGTGTTGGTGCGCTGTTCTACCCGGCCAGACAGTGTCCTGTCCATTTATGGTCTTTCCAGGGTGGAGTCACTGATGCTGGTGCCAGACTTTGTTCACTTAGGACCTTTGCTGCTGCCTCGTGCGCTTATGCAGCTCGGGTTCTTTCCATCCGCTTACGGCATGGCAAGGACTGACTCCATCCTGCTGGCATTGGATTTCAGCATGTTCGGCAGTCCGCCTGCGCCCCGAGCTCCTGCAAGATGTGGCTTTTTGTTGTCGGTCTATGGAGTGGCCAGAACGGGAAGCTCGCTTTTGGTGCCTGATCTTGTGCACTTGGGCGTGCTTCTGCTTCCTCAAAATTCTGCTTGATCTGGCTTCGTGCCACCTGTCTCCGGCATCACTTGCCCTGGCTTCTTGACGCCACCTTCGGACTGCAGCCACCTTGGTCCAATATTATTCTTGCATGCTCACATTCGGACAGGGCCACCGCTTCTAGCATACGGTATGACCTGACTGGGCTCCACCATGCTCCTGCTCGATGCGATCCAATCAGATAGTTTGCTGTCTGTTCGGTCGCTCATGCAGGCAGGGCTGCCCTTGCTTGCCTCCGGAATGTGCTGTTTGGGCTTGCTGCTTGTCGTGCTTGATTTTGCGAGCCTTGGGCTGATGTCGTCATCAAGGTCATCGCTTCGAGTGGGGCCTTCGCTTCCGGCCTATGGCCTGAGTCGGTTGGGAAGCTTGCTGCCGGCTCTCGACTACGCGGTGACGGGATCCCTGCCGTTACCGCATACCTGGCTTCGCATTGACTCACTGCCTTTTGCGGTTGGCATGCAACGTCCCGGGCTTTTGTTGCCTGCTTCGGACCCCCTGAGCCTGGAGCTAATCTTTCCACTGCAGAGTGCGGTGCGCCTTGACTCGAGTTTGCTGGTGTCTGGCATGACTCGACTTGAGCCGCTGCTGACCGCGTCAGACTGCTTGCACATCGGGAGCCCGATGCCCCCCCAAGGCTTTTCAAGGTCAGGTGCCAGCTCGCTGGTTTTTGGCATGTTGCGGTTAGAGGCTTTGCTGCCAGTACCGGACCTTCTGCACTCGGGCTCCCCCTTATTTCTCCGTGCCCCCATGAGGTCAGAATCCTTGATGCTGGTGTATGGCATGTTCCGGGCTGGTTCAATGCTACTTGTGTTGGATTCCTTGAATTTGGGCAGCTTGCCTTTGCTCAGAAGCTTTGCCTGGTCCGGTTCAAGTCCTTCTGCTTACGGCATGGCGTGGCTTGGCTCTACTTTACTAGCCCCCGACTTTGCGCATCTCGACAGCGCTCTGCCACTGAAGAGTTCCATGTGATTCGAGCTGTTTATTTTTGCCTACGGAATGGCACGGGCAGGCTTGGTGTCACTTATTCTGGATTACATCCACTCGGGATCTTCCTTGCTCCTGCAGATGCTAGTCCAAACGGATCCCATGCCTTCCGCATCTGGCCTGTGCCGTCCTGGCTCTCTCCTTCCACCCCTTGACCTTCCTCACCCGGGCGCGTCTTCGCCTCTGCAAAGCCCCATTTGCACGGGGCTCTCAGCATCGGCTTTTGGGCTGAGTCGCCTCGGTGCGCCTTTGTCCACCTTGGACTTCATCAAAGCCGGTCCGGCACCTTCGACGAGAAGTCTTGTGAGCGCGGGCTTCCTGCTGTTGGCTTATGGTATGACTTGTCTAGAGTTTCTGCTGCCACTGTCGGATTGTCTGAACACTGCTTCCGTGATGCTGCCGCAAAGCTTCGTGACGCCAGAATTCACCTTGTCGGTCTTCGGCGTCAATAGGCCAGAGCTACCGATGTCGGCTCTGGATCCTTTCAGACTCGACTTGCCCCCACTGCTTAGAAGCCCTGTCCGGCTTGGTTTCAGCATGCTTATGAGTGGCACCTGCAGATTGGAAGCACCGATGCCGACTTCGGACTATCTGCAGCCAGGTTTCTCGCCCTTGCTTCACAGCCTCTTTCGCTTTGGGCCGCCGATGTCGCTTTCCGGCATCTCTTGTATGGCCTCGATGTCTGTGCTGGACCTCATGAGTTCGGGCGCGATGGCATCCTTGAAGAGCTCCGCATGCTTGGATCCAACATCACCTGCCTACGGCTTGAGCAAGCCAGGTTTGTCTTTACTGATGTCGGACTACTCCAGTCTCGACTCCTCGCCGCTCCTTCGCACGCTTGTTCGTCCAGGCTTGCTGCCTTCTTCATCTGGAATGCAATGCACGGGTTCCTCGGCCTTCGCGTTGGACTACGTGGTTCCAGGAAGCCCACTTCCCTTACAAACCTCCCTAAGGCTGGGAAGCTCCCCACCAGCCTACGGCCTTTCAAAACCCGACCTGTCTCCTTCAGTCTTGGACTTTGTGAACACGGGCTTCAGCCTCCCAGCCCGAGGCCTTGTTCGACTTGGCGCAGCAACGCTCGCCTACGGCTTCACCTGTCTCGGCTTCTTGTTCTCAGCCCCTGATCTCGTCAGCCTTGAATTGTCACCTCTGACAAGGTGCAGTGTCCGTTTGGAAGCACCCATGCCAGCATATGGAATGACTCGCATGGATCCGTCCATGCTGGCACCGGACTCCGTGCAACCTGCTCCCTCCCTCTTGACACGAACCCACGTGTGACTTGATTTTTCGATGCTGCTCTCCGGCCTCAGCCGCTTAGGCTTCCTGCTGCCTGTGTCGGATCGTGTGGAACTTGGCTCTTTGATGCCGGCACGGTGCTTCAGCTGATTTGGTCCTGGATTGCCCATCTTCAGTCAGGCCCGGTCTGGAGCAATGATGTCTGCCCTTGACTCTGTCAGCACAGGGCTTCTGCTGCCGCCTCGGAGTCATGCCCAACCCGGCCTAACGTTGCTTCTCTACGGCATCACGCGCTCAGGCTTCTTCCTATCAGCCCTTGATCCTTCAACCTTTGACCCGGTGGTGTCGTCACGAGGCTCTGTGCGCCCAGGATCTCGCCTCTTACCATATGGATGCCATCGCTTGGATGTTCCCACGCTCACCTCAGATTTCTTGTCGCCGGATGCTCTGCTGCCCCTCCAGTCTTCTGTAAGACCAGAACTGCTCTCGCCTGCCAGCGGCTTGTCTCGCTTGGGGTCTCCCTTGCCACCTCTGGACCACATATATCTTGAACTTTCACTGCTTGCGAGAAGCCTTGCGCGGCTGGAGTTTCTGTTGCTAGCCTACGGCATTTCCCAGCCAGGTGTGCTGCCGCCTCTGCTGGACCATGTGAGCTGCAGCAAGCAGCTGTCCCCACGAACCTATGCCCAGCTTGAGTCGTTCCTTCCAACCTACGGCTGCCTGCGGATTGGCCCGCCCCCTTCCGTACCGGACTGTGCGCACCTCGGAAGCTCGCTGTCCTTTCGAAACCTCCTATGCTTAGGTCCTATGCTGCTGCCTTACGGCATGCTGTGGTCAGAGTCCCCTCCACCCGTTTTGGATTCCGTTCAGCTCGGTTTCCTTCTGTTGCTCCATTCCCTTGCCTGCCCCGGCGTGTCTTTGCCGGTCTACGGCTTCGCAGCTTCAGGAAGTTCGGCCTCAACTCTTGACTCCACACACCTAGGGCCCGCGCTGCCGGTGAGGTCACACGCCCGAATCGGTTCTGCACCGGCAGTTTATGGCATCACTCGGCCTGGCAGCTCGCCGCTGGCTGCGGACCTTGTGCATCTTGACATCTTCCTGTTGCTACGGAGCCACTGCCATTCCGATGTGTCATTTCCCCTCTTCGGCACTGCGCGAACGGATTTGCCTCCCTATGTAGATGATGAGGCACTCTTCGGCAGCTTGCCATTGCTCCAAGGCCCTGCGCGACCAGGATTACCTTTGCTGGCCTACCACCTCTCCCGGCCGGAAACCCCTTCACTGGCCTCAGATTTCGTGCAGTGTGGTTCGACGCTTCTTCTCCGCAGCCTTCTCTGCCCAGGATCTTCCCTGCCCGCCTATGGTGTCACCTGTTCGGGAAGTTCGTTGCCCGTCCTGGATCCCTTGAACTTGGCCGTATCACCGTCACCCAGGTCTCCCGCCAGGTCAGGCGTGATCTCGTTTACCTCCGGAATGACGCAGCTCGGCCTTCGATCACCCATGCTTGACTACGTATGCAGCGGAAGCTCACTGACATTGCGTTCCCTTTCGCAGCCGGGTCTTCCGCTACTCGTCTATGGTGTGATGCGATGTGGCTCCTCCCCTTCGGTTCTGGATAGAGCTTGTTTCGGGCCTTCCTTGCCAACACAGTCCCTTGTGAGATCGGAGTTGTCGCTGTTCGTTTACGGAATGGTCTGGCTTGGCTCCTTGCCTTCAGTGCTTGGTGGTATCACAGGGCAAGATAGCTGGGAGATGAGATCTTTCGTCCGCCTGGACTTCAGCACGTTTGTGTACGGCTTGGCATGCCCAGACACCCTGTTGTCGGCTCCCGATTCAACAAGTTCTAGCTCCTTCCTGTTCTTGCAAAGCTTCCTTCGTTGCGGGCTAACTTTGTCAGTTTATGGGATGGTCTGGCCGGGCTTCTCCACGTCTTTGCCAGATTCTGCGCACCTTGGCCCCTCGATGCCACTTCAAGGCCTCTGTTGTTTGGGTTTCCTTCTTCCGGCACTTGGCATGTCATGTCCCGGCTGTGCTACGTTGGCAACTGATTCTGCAAATGTCGGTAGCCTGCTGCCGCTGCATCACTTCTTGCGCATGGGTTCCAGTCTGTTGGCATATGGTATGACCTGCTCAGAACTGCCTTTCTTGTTGCTGGATCCCTTGAAGCCGGGTCTTTCCATGCTGCCGCAGGCATCCGTGTGGCCTGGTGTGTCCATTCCCCTGTATGGCATGTCCCGTCTGAGCAGCTTGATGTTCTCGCCCGATGTAGTTCATGTTGGCTTTTCTCTGTTGGTCAGGGCATGTGCATGGTTGGGTTTCTCCCCTTTACTCTATGGGATCACGAGGCTTGACCTGCTAATGCCGCTCCCAGACCTCGCGCAGTCGGGCTTTGGTTCTTTGCTGCAAAACTTCGCTTATCTTGGAAGCACTCTGCTTCCTTATGGATGCCTCTATCTTGAGGCTTGGCTGCGTTTAGGAACTGACTTCATGGTACCAGGCTTGTGAAGGGTTCAGGCCGGCAATGCAGCGCCGTAGGGACTGGCGAGGCGTGTGAAGAAGTCTGTGCCAGATTAGAGGAGGGTGTTATGTTTGTTTAGCAGAGCAGAAGCTACCAATGCCTTGCGCAGATAACCCAGCAACCGTTTCGGTTTAATTCCCGCCTGTGCAGCTGTAGCCGTGACGACTAAGGACCTCGCCACATCGACCACGGGCTCAACGTACATGGCACCCTCGCTGCTTGTGAGATGTCATGCGTGGCTTGATCTTCTGCTTTTAGTCTCTGAAGTCTCGCGATTAAAGTCTACGTCGTCCGTCCCAGACCACACAGACCTGGAAGCGCCTGTGCCACCGCGTGGTCTCGTCCAACTTGGTCTTGTGTCATCTGCGTATGGCATGGCATGGCTTGACAGTTCGCTCTCTGCTCTTGACTTTGCCATGCTGGGCTTCTCGGTCTTCTCGAGGAGCTTCCTGCACACGGGCTCGTCACCCTCGGCCTCTGGACTGACGCGAACGGAGTTGTTGCTCTCCGTTTCGGACCTCCTGCAACCTGGGTCATCCATGTCTTTGCGGTCCTCTCTCCATCCAGACCCAATCGTGCCAACCTGCGGATGTGCACGACTCGGAGTTTCCCTCCTGACCCTGGACTTCATTACACCAGACGCTTCGCTGTCGGTGAGGTCTTTCGTCCGTTCGGGGCCGTCCTCGTCTGCCTTCGGCTTGACGAACCCCGAGCTCTCCATGTCAGCGCTTGATCTTGTGAACACCGACCTGTCGTCGCTGCTTCGATCATTCGCTCGATCCGGTCTGGTGATGTTTGCCTTCGGATGTGGACGATTGGGGCCTACGATGCCGGCCCTGGATTCCGTCACGCCTGGCCCACTGATGTTGCTGCAGAGCCTTGTGAGATTTGAGCTGACTGCTTTCATGTTCGGTCTGCTGACTCTGGGTTCGAGCTTGTCCCCGCTTGATCTCATACAGACAGGATCCTGCCTCCTGCCAAGAAGCTTCCTTTACGTGGACCTCACGATTCCAATGTATGGGCTGTCTTGCTTGGGGCTTGCAACGTCCACCTCGGATTCTTTGCATCTGGGACCATCCATGCTCTCACAGAGTCATGTGAGGTCAGGACCAAGTGCGCCAGTGGTTGGAATGTCCTGGCTCGACCCGTCCTTGCCAATTCCGGACCGGGTGAACCTTGAACTCCCAGCGTTGCTGAAGTCTTCCGGTCGCTTCGGCTCGCTGCTGCTTGTCTCCGGCATGGCGCGATCGGGCTGCCCACCCCTAGTGCTGGACTTTCACTGCTTCTCATCCTCCATATTCCCAAGGAGCTTCGTGAGGGCCGGCCCTTCGATGCCCATGTTCGGGTTGGCCCGCCTGGGTTCGACGACGCCTGCCGTGGATTTCGTGAACGTAGGCCCTCCCTCGTTGCTCAGATCCTTCTTGCGCTCCGACCTCCCGGCCTCCATCTTCGGCTTATCCAAACTTGGATTTCTCTTGTCGGCCTTAGACTTCCTGAACTTAGGTCCCGCTCTCTTGTCACAGAGCCCTCTGAGGGTGGAAGCGCCCCTTTTCACGTACAGCTTGAGCAGGCTGGGTCCTCCACTTTTGGCTTTAGATCTCCCCTACCCGGGCCTCTTGCTGCCTTCGCAAAGCCTTCTATGGGTGGGTTTCACAGCGCCAACCTACGGCTTCACGGCTCTGGACCCACTGCTGCCAGTATCGGACTTCCTGAACTTAGACTTTGCCATCCCCTCGCGTGGCACGTACCTTACGGAGTCCCAGCTTCTAGCCTTTGGCATGACATGGTCAGACTCGCCCTTGCCAGCTTTGGATTCTTTGCATCTGGGGCCCGCGATTCTGTTGCATAGCAGTGTCCGGCTGGGGCCAGCGACTTCGGTTTACGGCCTGGCGTGTTTGGGCTTGCTGTCGTTGGCTTTGGATCTCGTCCAGCTTGCCAGCACCTTGAGCCTTCGAAGCTACATGCGCACTGGGCCGAGCCTTCTGGTGTACGGACTGTGCCGTACGGAATTCTCAATGCTGGTACTGGATTTCGTCAGCTGTGGATCGCAGATGTCGTTGCAACACTCTGCGCGGCTGGAGCCCCCGCTCCTTGCATACGGCATGCAGTGCATGGGATCTGCCATGCCGACACCGGACCCAGTGAAGCTCGGCTCGCTGCCGCCTTTGCACAGTCCCATGCGCTTAGGCGCCCCGCTGTCGATGTCCGGCTTGGCATGCCTGGGCTTCTCGATCCCTGCTTTAGACATCGGCCAGTCTGGCCCCATCTTGCCTTCGCAACACATCGCACGTTTGGGCAGCACTCTGCCGGCTTTTGGGATCGTTTGGCCTGGGCCATCTTTGCTGCTGTTGGACTTGGTCAATCCCGATCCAACCCTGTTTCTGCAAACACACCTACAGGCGGGGTCTGCTACGTCTGTCTACGGCATTTCTTGGCCAGGAGCACTTGCGTCGACACCGGACCTTATGCACTCCGGGCTGCCAGCATTCTTGCATGCGTCTGTCTGCTCAGACTCTGCTCTTCCAGCCTACGGTGTCACGCGACTTGGCCTCTCGATCCCCATACCGGACTCCTTCATGCTCGGCTCCTCTACTCCTCCACGCAGTCTGACACGATTGGGAGGCGACCTACCCCTGTACGGCATGACCTGACTGGAGCCTTTGCTACCCGTCATGGACCTCATGCATCCGGGCTCGATAGCTTCTCTCCAAACCCTCTGCTGCTTTGGGTCTCCCTTGCTTGCTTATGGGTTTTCGTACTTGTGTTCCTCCATGCTAGCTCTAGACTCCGCACACTGCGGGCCACCTCCGCCATTGCACTATCTTGCCCGGCTGGATTTGGCACCCTCCGCCTACGGGATGGCTTGGTCAGACTCTCCAATGCCGGCTTCAGACCTCATGCATGTCGGGCTGCCCCTCTTCTTGCAATACTACACCCGAACGGGCAGCTCGCCTCTTCTCTACGGCATGGGTAGACCAGGAAGCCCGACATCGGTCCTGGACTCCATTCACGTGGAATTCCCTTTGTTCCCTCGAAGCCATTTCCGAACGGGTCCAAGCCTTTCAGTCTATGGCCTGTGCTGCCTCGGGCCGAGCATTCTGGTGCCGGATTTCATCCACATCGGTTCTTCGGCTCCTCTGAGGAGTGTTTTCCAGATTGGCCCATCTCCGTTCGCCTACGGAGTTACAACCTCGGGTTCCATGCCGCTGGCTTCAGACTATTTGCACATGGAGCTCTCCTTGCCACTGCGAGGCTACATGCAACCAGGCCCCAGCCTCCTGGCCTCCGGAATGACGTGTTCGGGCCCCTCTCTATCAGTCACTGATTCTAGTACCATGGGGTTGCTGCTTCCTTCGCGAGGCTCCAGCAAGTTCGGACCATGCTCGCTACTCTATGGTGTGCAACGACTGGGTAGTACCCTGCTGATGCCAGACACAGGCAACTCCGGACCACCCTTGCTCTTGCGTGGGTTTTGTCGCTTCGGAAGCTTCTCATCGCTCTTCGGTGTGTCGCGCTTGGAGCTGCCGCTCTCTGCGCCTGATTTCGTGCAGTTGGGGCCGTTGCTGTTGCTAAGGGGCTTCGCTCAGCTTGGATTTCCCTTGCTCGTTTCTGGCATGGTCCGGTCGGGGCCATTGCTGCCGGTCTTGGATTATCTTCATTTGGGCTTCATGGTGCCTTTGAGAGGACTCGTGAAGACCGGCTTCTTTCCGCCGACCTCCAGCTGCGTTCGTCTTGGACCTCTGATGCTTATGCTAGACCACATGACATCTGGCCCTACCCTGCTGCCGCGCAGCTTTGCGTGCCTGGACCTTGTGCTGCTTGCATTCGGCATAAGCAAGCCCGATTCCCCATTGCCTGCTCCAGATTCTATAACCGTCGGCAGCACGCTGCTACTGCGATACCTTGCGCGACCGGAGCTTGCCTCACCGGTTTCCGGCATGACATGCCCAGGTCTCCCGCCGCTGGCACCTGATCTCTTGCACCCTGGCAGTCCGATGTTGTCACGTTACTACGCATGCCTCGGTGCGCCGATGCCTGTGTACGGCATGGCTCGTCTTGGGTCCTTGCCTTCTGCATTGGATCTCGTTACACCAGGCCCCTCCACGTCTTCGCAAGCGCATGCTCAAACCGGATTTGCATCGCCTGTGTCCGGACTGTCCCGGTTGGGTTCAACTCCTTTGGCCCCCGACCTGGTGAAAATCGACTTCTTCTTGCCGGTAAGGAGCCCCTTTCAGTCCGGCTTGCTTTCGTTTCTCTACGGCTTGGCTTGGGCCGGGCCATCACCTTCGGCACCAGACTTCGCTCTCACGGGCTCCCTGCTTCTTTCGAGGTCCCACTTGCATCCAGGCCTCACCCCCTTGGTTTACGGCATGAACAGGCCGGGTGCTTTGCTTTTTGCACCTAACTTTGTGCATCTTGGTCTACCAACGCCCCTGCATGGCTACATGAGAGTTGACAGCACTCCCTCTGCCTACGGAATCGCTTGGCTGGAGTCCTTTCCACTGATCCTGGACTTCGTCCACCTAGGCCCCATCATGTCCTTGCATGGTCGCGTGCGTGTAGGAAGCCTGACACCGGTCTTTGGCTTGGCCTGTCTTGGAGCCTTGACTTCTGCGCTTGACTGGGCGAGTTTGGGCAGCACCATGTTCTCACAAACTTTCGTCTGCACAGGTTTTGCACTGCTGGTGTCTGGAATGACGTGCCTCGATTCCTTGTCGCCACTGCTGGATCGCTGCAGCCCAGGCTCGAACCTGTCAATGCGAGCCCCTGCTTGCCTCGAGGTCTCTGTATCCATCTATGGTATCTCTTGTCCAGAGCTGCTCCTTCCCGTCCTGGATTTTGTCCAAGCAGGAAGCATAGCTCCTGCCAGGACCTCTGCACGAACCGGTAGCTTCCTTGCTGCATATGGCATCTCACAACCCAGCTCATTCTCGTCGATTCTCGATCATGCATGTGTGGGTTCTCCCTCACTTCCTCGCGCTTTTGCACGACCGGGTTCCTCTTCATTGGTCTACGGCATGTGCGGACTGGATCTGCTGCTGTTTGTGCCCGACTTTCTACACATGGGATCACCAATGCTTGTTCGTGGCTTCATGTGTCACGGGTTTTCCCTGCTCTTGTATGGTATGGCTTGCCCTGAGCCATTGCTGCCGACTTTAGACCTCGTGCAGGCCGGTTCGTCTATGGCTTTGCGCAGCTTCCTGCGACCGGAGAGTTTGCCACCCGCGTATGGCATGACGTGGCTTGGGCCGGCCCTCTTTGCTCCGGATTATATTCACCCGGGCTTTCTCTTGCCGTTGCAAGGCCATGCTTGAACCGGTTCGATTGCGTTCGCGTATGGCTTAGCATGTTTGGACTCCTCCTCTTCTGCCCTGGACCATGCCAGCACAGACTCCGTGCTTCCTCCACGCAGTTTCATGCGGCTGGGATTTGCCTTGTCGGCTTATGGCATGCTGTGTCCTGAGCCTCTTTTTTCGGTCCCTGACTTCGCACATCCAGATGCCATGCCGGCCCCCAGAAACCTTATGCGTACCGGCTTGCTGCCACCGACTTACGGCATGGTCTGCTCGGGCTTTTCCACGCCGACCCTCGACTGCGTACATTTGGGATCCATGCCTTCAGCTCGGGCAATGATGCGACCTGGAAGTCTGTCGCCTCCGTCTGGCATGTCAAGGCCTGGCTTTAGCCTGTCTTTGCCGGAGTTCGCTGCATTCGGCTTGACCCTCTTACTGCAGAGGCTTGCCCGTCTGGGAAGCTTCTTGCCAACTTTTGGCCTCACCAGACTCGGAGTCCCCTTGCCTTTGCTGGACTACACGCACTTGGACTTCGCGTTGTCCCCTCGGTCCCTTTGCCGCTTGGGGCTGGCAACGTTGGCCTACGGCATCGTGCGGGTGGGCCTCTTGCCTTCGGTGCTTGATTTTGTCCATCCTGGTGCACCCCCATCTCTGCGCACGTCCGCACGCTTCGAGAGTGTTCCATCTGCTTACGGACTTTCGCGGCTCGGGCCTACCTCACCAGCCCCAGACCTCTTTCACATGGGATCCCTACTGCTTCCTCAGTCTCATGCTTGTTTAGGCGTGGTGATGCCAGCATACGGCGTAACGCGCTCAGAGGCAATCCTGTCGGCTCTGGACTTCGGCTGCTCCAGCTCGCTCCTGCCTTCGAGGAGCTCCCAGCAGCTGGGACCTCCGCTTCCCACCTACGGCATTACGAAGCTGGACTTGACTCTTCCAATCCTGGAGCATGCGCACTTCGACTCACCCCTACTGACCAGAGGACACATGAGGTCGGGCATGGCCACGTTCTCGTCTGGCTTGTCTCGACTGGGCCCACCCTTGCCATCGTCGGAGTTTGCTGCGCTCGAGCCAGCGCTGCCCCCACGAACACCTGCAAGGACAGGAAGCTCCTTACCTGCCTACGGCTTGGCGCGGGTCGACCCGTCTCTTTCCGTTCCCGACTGGCTGAACATAGCACCGCTGCTGCCCTTGCATGGACTCATGAAGACCGGATCATCTTCGTTTGCATTCGGAGTAGCACGGCCTGGGTTGATGCCGTTCACTACCGACCTTGTGCATGTAGACTCCCCTCTTTTGCTGCACACCTTTGCTCAGCACGGAAGCGCTTTGCTTGTCTACGGCATGTCTTGATCGGATGCTCTGCCGTTGATGCTAAACTACTTGCACCCAGAAGTGCAACTTTCCTCACAGACATTCATGCGGACCGGTTTTGTCCCGTTGGCATACGGCTTAGGCAAACTGGGATCGCCTCTCCTGGCCCTCGATCTTACCATGCCTGGCTCTTTGCTGTCGGTTCACAGCTTTGCGTGCTTTGGCAGCTTGCTGCTTGCCTCTGGCATGACTCGATCAGGTTTGCCTCCGCTGCTCCCTGATTTTGGCATCTGTGGTAGTTCTTCACCGCCTCGTACGTTCTGCCAATCGGAGCCACCCTTGCCAGCGTACGGTATGTCTTGTTTGAGCCTGTCGCCGCTCGTTCCGGACTCTGTTCATCTCGGCTTGCCGTTCTCGTTGCGTATGCTCAGTCAATCCGATCCTGTGCCTTTCGTGTATGGTATGAGCACATTGGGCTTCTCACCCTTCGTACTTGACTCTATGCACTCGGAATCCCCATCGTCCTTACGCTACCATGCGCGGCCGGGATTTCTGGTGCTTGCCTTCGGCTTGTGCCGCTTGGAATTCTCACTTTCTGCGTCGGACTTCTGTCACTCGGGACTATCCTTGCTTGTCCAAAGCCATCTGTGCACTGGGTCAATGCTACCTGTCTTTGGTCTGACGTGCCTCGGGCTTCCACTGCTTGTTCCGGACTTTGCAAACTCGGAGTCGGTGACGCCCTCGCAGGCTTTCGTTCGATCTGATCTTTCGATGCCTGCGTCTGGAATTTCTCGACCGGGCCTTTCGCCCTTGCTGCCGGACTGCATCTCTTCAGGTGCTCCTCCGTTGCTGAGAGCCTCCGCAAGAACAGATTCGATGCCTTCAGCTTTCGGCGTGTCACGACCAGAGGACTCCCTGTCAGTGCCGGACCTTGTGAAGCTTGGGTCAGCACTGTCTGCGCGTGGCTCCACTTGCTCGGGCCTCATACTGTTCGCATATGGTATGTCTCAGCTGGAGCTTTTCCTGCTCGTCCCAGATTCTGTGGCTCTGGACTTGATGCTTTTCCCACAAAGCCTTTGCCGAATCGGCTTGACATCGCCGACCTTCGGGCTGACTAAACTCGATGCCAGTCTGCTCGCCTTGGATTTGTCGGGTTCAGGCGTTTTATCGTTTATGCAAAGCCCTGTCCAACCTGAAGCTTCCTTGCTTGTCTATGGCTTATGCAGGCCTGGTTTCTTCTTGCTGGCTTTGGACTTTGTTCACTTGGGATCCATGCCGCTACTGCAGGGCCTCGCTCGGCTTGGGCTGCTGCCGTCGCCGTATGGGATGGCTAGAGCTGGCCTCTCTCTCCCTTTGCTGGCTTTCGCCACTTTTGGATCTCCTTCATCCCTCCACAGCCTTGCGAGATTCGGGCCTCCCCTTTCAGCCTTTGGCATGTCCCGTCTTGATTTCACCTCGCCGGCCCCGGACTCCATCCACTTCGGATCGAGCATGCTCTTGAAGGGCTTTGCTTGGGTAGAACTTTCTATTTCAGCCTATGGTCTGACCTGCTCGGGCCCGAGCCTTTTGGCACCAGACTTCATGCACCCGGGATCTCTCACGCCCTTGCGCACGCATCTTCGAACAGATGCGTCCATGCTGGCCTATGGCATGACCCAGCCAGGCTCGCCGCCTTTAGCCTTGGACCTTCTTGACCCTGGCCTACCGCTGCCTCTCCAGTCCTCCGTCTGCACCGGACTGACATCATTGCTGTTCGGCTTGTTGCGACTTGACTTCAGCACGTCGGTGCTGGACTACCTGTGCCTGGGATTTATGATGCTTCCCCGAAGTTTCGCACAAACGGAGCTGGTGCTTTCAGCTTATGGTATCGTGTGTCCAGAATCGCTGCTGCCGCTGCTGGATTGTGCACACCTGGAGTCACCAATACTGCCACAAGGCCCTGTCTGTTTCGGCCTCCCAATGCTTGTCTCAGGCATTTCTCGGCCCGAGCTGTCGCCACTTACTCCAGACCTTCTGAACCTGGGCTTCAGCCTATCACTGAGGACTTTCTTCCGAATTGGCTTCCTCACGTTTGCATATGGCTTGTCCAAGCTTGAAGCCTTCTTGCCGGCCATGGACCTCCTGCAGCCCGAGCCAACCTTGCTCTCGCAGTCCTTCGCTAGGCCTGGTCTGCTTCTTTCTTCGTATGGTGTGCAGTGCCTGGGTCCTTCACCCGCGTCGCCGGATCACTCGTGTTTGGGATCCATGCTGCTGCTCCGGAGCTTCCTTCGTGTCGGCCCCGCTCCTCTTGCCTACGGCTGCACGTATCCTGGAAGCCTGTCATCGGCTTTGGACTACGCAAATTCGGAGCCCGTCTCATCCACGCAGGCTTCTTTCCGACTGGGCCTAGCGCCACCGGCTTATGGGCTAACATGTCCCGAGTTGCCGCCGTCTGTGCTGGACCATGCGTCTGCTGGATCTCCTTTATTTGTGCGTGCGCTCATCTGCACGGACTTGATCCTACCTGCATATGGCTTTTGTCAGCTTGGGTCTCTGCTGCCGTTGTTAGACTTTGCTCACATGGAGTCCTTGCCGTTGCCCCGCAGCCCTCTGTGTCCAGAGCCTCTGCCTTTGGCGTCAGGTGTCACAAGGCTGGGCCCTTTGCCATCCGCGCCCGACTTCGTTCAGCTGGACCTGCCCCTCCCATCGCCAGGTCCTCGGAGTTTCCCTCACAAGGATGAAGGCCATGCAGGTCTAGAAGCTGTCATGGGCTTGCCACATGCGGCACGCAGTGACTTAGTAGTGCCAGCCCGCAACTGTGACCCTGAGAATCTGCTTCGTTCTGTGATGCAGCTGCTCCAGCAAGTGTAAATGCAGAACATGCAACAGCTCCATTCCAATTTTTCACTGGGTGGTGCCGAACAGTCATGTCAGGACAAACTCATGTATTCCAGTCCCACACCTGGGGTGTGCTGCGAGAGCAGCACTTCATCTTTTTTCCGTCGCCGCAGCGCCATGCCGGTTCTTCAAATGGAGCTGATGCAAGAGGGGCAGGAGGTAAGTGACCAACCAAAACAGATGAACATAAAGTATGGAATCTTACCCCGACTTTCCAGGGACATGACCTTCAAAGGACTGCTTAGGTGCTTGCTTTGGGTTCCCAGGAGGACGAGGAGAACTTCGACACGTCGCCGCAAGACGCCGAGCCGGCTGAGCCGGCTGAGTCAACTGCATTTCTGCAGCGGCCGAAAATGAGGTGGGGAGCCATGCACCGGGGGGTAGGGCCGGGCAGAGTCTAGAGGGCTTGCAGTGTGGGGCTCTTGGGGGCTTAGAGGGTTTAGGGGTTGAGGACACTACGCTGGCCTTCTTCAGGACTTTGCATCACCCGTCTCGGATGGCTGATCCTGCTTTCTATCTGAGGCCTTGTTTGGTTGAGTTTATGATGCTCACGCCAAGACGACGCTTGGGGCTTGGAGTCATCCTGTGTGGACTGAGCTTCGCACTCCTGGCGGTCCTCTTGGCGGGATCGATTCCTTCCATCAGCCAGTCGCACCAGCGCGCACGTGCTGGGAGATTCCGCTTGAGCCTGTGGTCTGGGGAAGGATCTTGTCGCAGCATGGGCTGCGAAAGTGACAACTACGTTGGTAGCTGCCAGTGCAACTTGGCTTCAAGAGATTCTGCGTGCTTCTGCGAGGCGCATTCGTTGCACTTGCCATTTCCAAGGTAACGATGGGTGCACTTATTTTGACGATTGCTGCCCCGACTACCAGGAAATATGCACATCGGCTGGGCAGTACGAACCTCCGGCAACTTGGCATTCTCTAGGCTGTCAGACCGGACCAGGTAATTGCCATTTCGAATTCTCAGGAACCGCGTGGTTCCTGCCAGTCCATGGGTTGCGGCAGTGATGCCCTGGGCTGTACAATGGCCAACTGTGCGAACCTTTGCCGCCTGTCTTGGCTTCAGCTACACCTTTTGTTCTGCAAGGCACGTTTTGAAGGGAACCAAGGTGGCATCGCGAAGAGGGTGCAGAACACACCTTCTCTTCACATCATATCACATCACATCATGTCATCACATCGCATCGCACCGCGTAACACCATATCGCATCACATCAACGTCATCGACTTAATATGTCATAACTTAACATGTAGTAAAATGTGCTACTATATCTTGTCGTCATGTCATAATCATATCATATCATATTATGGGCAGGCGAATCATACAATTTTGTGATTGCGCCATGACTATGTTCTTGCTTTTCGTTTTTGTCGTTGTGTCTTTCCCAACCAAACCAACGGTAGTCTCGAAAACTCAGCTAAGGCTCAGCTACTACGTCTCGTATGATTCTCTACTTATTTACCGATACAGCCGTGATTTATTGGCACTATTCATCAATATTGAATCATTTAAACAGGTTGTAGGATGTTTTTTTAACGAAGGAAAATAGGGTGCTCGCTGGAATAGCAAAGATTGCCGCAGTGGAACACTTCTCCACTAAAGCACTTGACAAATACAAAGGCTGAGTGCTGTTGATACGTCAGCCCGAGGTCAACAAACAAAAAATTGTATACGCGGTTGTTGTAGCTTGGATACTTCAGGTTGTATTTCCTTGCAATTTAACTTTTCGGTTTACGATTCAGAAGACGTTGTAAACATTGCTTGAGTTGATAGGAACCAATGATAAATGAAGTTTTGGGAATGTTGGGAATGTTGGAACGCGAAAGCGAAAACTGTGGAATTCTTGAAAAACGGGATTTATGATGTTTTGGATCGTTAGATGAATTTTGCATTCTAACTGTGTTTTGATAGTTGCAGGAAGGTTGAATATCAGGGCGTGAGTTTGTTAGCTGCAAGGGAAACATCGCTCATTGACACGCACCCCGAAACCCAGGCAGACAGTAGAACTTGTGTTGGATGGGTACCCGATTGGCTCGGGCGTGGGCTTTGGAAGGGTGTAGCATATATATATATATATATATGTATATGTAGTACAGGCATACACACACAACATGTTGGAACCTCATACCTCATATAGCATCGCACAGTTCAATCATTTTTTTTTCTCTCTCTCGCTCTCTCTCCCTCCTTATCTCTCTCTCTCTCTCTCTCTCTCTGTCTCTCTCTTTTGCGTGCGTTTTTTTGGCGGAGTCTAAGGCCAGTGCGTTCCCAGCTGCCGCGAAGCTGGGAATTGTTGCCATGACTTCGAGATGCTCTGCATGGGTGGTGGCGGTGGTGGCAGTGAGGGTGGCCGTTACGATCGGGAAGGCGAGATGGGTGATGGTCCCAATGGTGACGACGGCTCAGGCCAGGCTACATCTTCAGCTGTCGCAAGGGCTCAGGTAGTTCTGACCGCTTTTTGTGAAGCCGTGGACGCTTGATGCTCGGTAACACCGAAAGCAAGACCCTGCGATCCCGCCGCCCAACTTGAGCCGCATCAGGAGAGCTAGTGACTGGCAATGGTGGTAGTACATAGTAGTAGTAGCAGCAGTAGTCGTAGTGGTAGTGGTAGTCGCGGTGGCTTTCGGTGGCGGAGGTGGTGCTGGTGCTGGTGACGGTGGTGGCGGTGCTAGTGGTGGTCGCGGTAGCCGTGGTCGTCGTGGTAGGGTAGCGGCAGTGATAGCGGCATGTAGTTGCGACAGTGTTCGATTAATGCTAACAGCCACAGTTACCTGTGCTCAAAATGCATGCCAAGTCATCACATTACACTGCAGTGTGTAGTGCTCCGAATCATGATTTGAAGCTTCATGTGCAAGCCGAAATGGTGGCTCCGGCTGTTCGCATGGTGCGCCCTGTGCCTGGAAGGTCAGTATTGGGATGGAGATGGCGACAAAGGTGACGATGGCGAGGAATACGGGCACCAAGCACCCCATGAGCCGGGCCCGTCCTTCCACCGAGATGAAAGCACAACATCCATCGAGCCGAGCACAAGCTCCAAGTTGCCTCACACGTCGGAGAAGACAGCCGTGCCCAGCACCTCTACAGCCAGCTTAGAGAGTTCAAAGCACAAGAGCACCCTGCGTCACAAAGCCAGCCACCGCATTGCCACAACCACACCACGGCCCTCCCGACATGAGAACAGCTTGAAGCTAGCTGGCCATTCGGGACACAAACGTGCCGGAAACACCGGCGGCGGCTCTTACGGATCAGTCGACTTCGAAGTCTCCGATCCTTGGTCTCCCTCCGAGTGGAGCTCGGACTTCGACTCGCAAAGGGAAGACTTGCAACCTGCCTGCAGCACAGTGTTCACCCTCTGTTTTTTTATCATCTTGATCTGGCTAAAGAGTGCTATCATCGTACTTTGTTGCAATGACGATACTCTGACGACGGTGACGACGACTACGAGTTCTTCTTATTGGCATTCATCTGCATAATATGCCAACATGCGTCGTGAACATCCAACGCCACAGCTAGCGCCGTCCGACTGTCCGAGGTTGGAGCTCCTGAAGTGGCAGCAAGTCAAGGCTTGCCCCGCGCAGGTCGTGAATCGCGACATTCCACAGGGACAGAATGTGAAAATCATCCAAGATGCGCCCCGGGATCAACTGCGAAAGGGAACTAGGAATAGAGTTCGGCAGTCAGACGGCATGTTCACGGTCATTGGACGGCACCGGTTTGCAGCGAGATGGTTTGTTGAGTTTGAAAGCGCGGAAGCGCTTACTGACACGAATCTGTGCGATCTGCATGAGACGCCAAGGTGCCCACTGCAGGTCACTGTCAACGGATGTGCACCGAGAACGACTGTGATGCTTCCGTGTGGGGTGCAGTCCGTGATGTGGAAGGTTCTCCGGAATGGTACGTCGGTATATAAGGGTTTAAGATGCTCCAGCTTTGGCCAGGCCTGTCGGACGTCTGCTTCCTGAAGAAAGTCTCTGGTTCTCCAAACATGATGGAGAAGCAGGGCGTTATCGCCGCGTTGCCCTGCTGTCGACCCCATCAGGCGCCATGGGCAAAAGCTCAGACACTGTTAGATCCATTTCCTCAACCCCGTCCCAGGAAGGACAAAGTTGTCCGCAGCACATGCTACAGACCGATGCCGTGACAGAGAATGGTTTCGCTCCCATGCAAGGCGCGGGCTGGTTCAGCCGTGGTAGTAGCAGGAGTCGTCGTCGTTGCAGCAACGGCGGTTGCAACAAAAAAGGGCAGCATGACCTCCATCATCGAGTGCATCGAAGCACGTCGCCTCTGCATTGCCAAACTCTTGAGTGTGTTCACGTCTCCTGTGAAGGCGACTAGTCGAGGGACGGGACGAATCCATCCATGATTCCATGATGACTATGATGACTGCCGACAGTAAATCTTGTGTTCGCCTCATCGCTGTTGCCCGCAGGAATCACGTCGGCCAGTGCGTGCCAGGAGAAGTGCACAAACACACAGGGTTGTGCTGTCTTCTCTTGGGGTGCTGCAAGGAGCCTGAGCAAGAGATTTGGGCACAGTCACAGATAATGACAAGAAGTAGCCGTTTAGTAGTAACGGTGATGATGGTAGATCTTGGCCCAGGAATGTGCCTGGGCTGTCAGATGTATGCTTCATGAAGAAGCTGAACCCGAACGAGAAAGTCAAGTTGGCCAGCAAGAAGGAGACGATCGCAGGCGAAGGGCTGGGCTGGGCGCCGGAGAGCCTAAACCTGAGCGGATTAGTCTACTATTCTACTATTACTGCCATTGTTCCTATTATTAATAGTGTTATTATTACTATAACTATTATTGTTACTGCTGCCCTCTTCCTTGGCGTTTGTAGGCCCAAGCGCTCGACTCGGGATGGCCTGCACCGAACAGGATGGTCAAACGACTAAACCCGTGGTCACTGAAGAGTTCCATGGGAGCCTAGACCCTAAAGCCTATTGGAGGCCTTCCCTGCGGCTGCCGAAC